TAGACCCAAGGAGGAACACATGAAGGCACATCTTAATTACATTAGCCAAGATTAAAATGAAAGAGAGAATCTTAAAAGCACCAAGAGAAAAGGAGACAGTTACCTACAAAGGAATTCCCATAGGACTGTTAGCTGATTTCTCAAAAGAAACCTTGCAGGCAAGAAGGGGCTGGAAAGAAGTATTCTAAGTCATGAAAGGCAAGGACCTACATCCAAGATTGCTCTATCCAGCAAAGCTTTCATTTAGAATGGAAGGGCAGATAAAGTGCTTCTCAGATAAGGTCAAATTCAAGGAGATCATCATCTCCAAGCCCTTATTATTTGAAATGTTAAAGGGACTTATCTAAGAAAAAGAAGATCAACAATATGAGCAGTAAAATGACAACAAACTCACAACTACAAACAACCAAACCTAAAAAGACAAAAACAAACTAAGCAAACAACTAGAACAGCAACAGAATCACAGAAATGGAGATCACATGGGGGGTTATCAGGAGGGATGGGGTGGGGGAAGAATGGGAGGAAAAGGTACAGGGAATAAGAAGCATAAATGATAGGAACAAAATAGACAGGTGGAGGTTAAGAATAGTATAGGTAATGGAGAAGCCAAAGAACATATACATATGCCCCATGGACTTGAACTAAGGGGACAGGAGAAATGTGGGTGGGATTGGGTATGCAGGGTGAAGGGGAATAAAAGGGGGAAATGGAACAACTATAAAGCATAATAAAATATATTTTTTAAAAAATTACTGACAAAGTAAAGTATATGTAATATGTTAATTTTTTAAAAGGCAGGACATAGACCTGCCTGGAGTAGCTAGCTCAGTGGACTGAGTGGTGGCCTGTGAACCAAAGGGTCACCAGTTTAATTCTCAGTCAGGGCACATGCCTGGGTTGAGGGCCAGGTCCCCAGTAGGGGGTGTAAGAGAGGCAACCACACACACACACACACATGCACACACAGAAAGAAAAATAGGATTGGAAAAGATCAAATAGTTTGAAAAGCACACCTTTTTTTTTTTTTTAATATGACTCTTCTTTCTTGAATATCTAGAACCTTCTGAAAGAAAGGTCTGGGAGTTCCCTTGTGTCAGCTCTGGTCAAAGCCACTATGACGCAGACATGGTTAGTGTGTCTTTGACAGCAAGACTGGCAAAGGAAAAAGCAAGTAAAGGAGCCTTAGAAATGTCCACACATTTTGGCCCAGTAATTCCACTTATCAGACTCTAGTCTTAGGCAATAAACAGAGATGTGGAAAGAAGTTTCATGTACAATAATAATTATCTAAAAGCTAGTAATAATAGTAAGAATTTGGAATGTGATCTGAAAGTCCAATAACAGCAATAGCTAACACTTACTAAGCTTTTAATTTGTGTAAGGCATGGTACTAAGCGATTTATATAAACTATCTCAGCAAACCTCATGAGTGAAGTGCTATTATTACCCAATTTTACAAATGAAGAAACTGAGTCACAGAGAGGGTAAGCAACTTGCCCAAGGCCATGCAAGTTCAAGTAGTGGAGCCAGGACTTGAACTATAGTTTTGTCCGAGTCTAACGCTGGTGTCTGAAACTGTCAAGCTGTACCTTTCTCCACAGGGGAATGACTAAACAACTACAGTACAAACATGGTGAAATATTAAACTGTCACTAGTATGAGCAATTTTTAACAAAATGAAGAAATATTCATGATATAATATTTAATGAAAAAGAAAAATAGATCAGCATTTAGTAAAGAGCATGAGCTCCATTAGGGTACAGATATACACAAAACATTGTTAATAAATATAAAAATACTTGTTTCCAGTTTGTGAACGAACGTACAATTGTATTTTCTTTTCCATGCTCTTATACCTTTTAAGCAGCCTACAAGTAATACGTATTGCTTGTATGATCAAGGAAAACAGTTTTCAGTAGAAAATAACTCTAGGCTGGAAGATGCTAGGAATCAGTGCTAATGGATTAGCCCAATCATAACCCACTGTGCTAGTGTTCAGGGCCCAGCAAGGCCAGGCAGCTCCAGCACACTGACCAGCGCCCACAGGAGCTCTGGCCGTCTCAGCGTGGGAGACGCCGCTTGTAGGGCTGACCAAGCTTCCGCATACGGAGCCATCCTGCTGCAGAAGTCAGGTTGTTAATTAATGGGGCCAGTGACCAACAAAACTATGTGTTTTGAGAACTGGATGGAAATTTTTACTCTGTGATTTCCACCTATGTGACTTTGGGCAAGTCATTTATCCTTTTTACATCTTTGTTTCCTCATCCATAAAATAGAGACAATAGGATTAACTCTCTGTTTAAGTTGTTGTGAGGATTAAATAAGAGTAAGTATGTAAAGTCTAGTCCATTACCTGCAACATAATTAGTACTCAATAAATGGTCACTTAGAGAGAACAAAGCATACTTTGCCCCATGATGGACATAAAGGGAAGGGCTGAGGAGATTGATTTGACATCATCCCTAAGAAACAGATGGAATATATGCTATGCTTCTAGATCGGGGCAAGTATAAGATACTACATTTTTTGCTTCAAACCACTCTAAATTCCCTATGAAAACACTGTCTTCTATGAGACTAACTCTAACAAACAACGTCAGTTTGTATAAGGTGTATAAAAGTTTTTACCTAAGTAGAGATGATTTGGGCTTTCTAAGTATACTCAAATATGTGCTATAAGTGTAATGGGCATAATTTAATATTCTGCTCCAGGGATGGAATTCTCATTACGACTATAACACTACAGACATTAAATAAATAATAAATATACCAGGAGATTTTTTTTAGCACATTAGACAACACGCTGGTGATTACAGCTATTACAATTTTTCAGTCATAAAAGTTATGTGGTACATCATTCTGTGTTTGTGAATGCTTTTGCACCTGAAAATACATCAAAATACCATAAATTACCAATGGCAGGTAGATTATGGGGATGGCATTAGAGATGGTTCTTTTCCTATTGCTTTTATTTTTCCTGTTAAAATTCTTTTATTATAGTTACTGCTTTTATAAAGAAAAATGTTAAGTATGGTTTAAGAAGAAGTGACTTAACCACTTGGTGGCGGTATGCTATGAGAAATATCATCTATATGGTTTCATATCAGTCCTACACTCAGGAATTTTGCTATTGTCCTGATTTCTTCCATAACAATCTTGTTCATAAATTGTTTTACTTCAGATATCTAATTCTTTGTGAAATCACTCTCTGACAATTAGGCTTCTCTTTTAAATGACTTTAATCTAATTAAATTAACACACCTGGTTGATTTGAAACTATGATAACAGAAGAGCTTAAAGGAAGATCATACTTATTCTCTACTAGGGCTAATAAAGCCCTAGTCAGGTATAAAAATTACTTTTACATAATGCAAATTAATAACTAAAGTTTCATTCCTGAATAACCATCTGTATTTTATACAAAAGAATTACATTAATTTGTATTAAAAGCCAACAGTAATATATATTCTTAAATTAAAATGCTAATTTTAAAATAATGGAAGTGAAAAAAATAAATGAGCAACATATGCTATAAACCCATGGTTTTGCCAAATTAAAGAAAAAGTTTTGTCACATTTTAATGTTATATTTCTCTTAAAATTTGAAACTAATGTAGGTGCAGACTCTTGTGTGGGTTCCCTGAGAATGAACATGAGCTTATAAAATAGAATTTAGATGAATAAGCCTGGCTGTTGGCCATGGGTCATAACCTTGTACCCTCAGAATACGATGGAACCAGATACTTGAAACAAAAGCCAGTGAAGCACGGAGAAGCCAAAAGGGATTTCTGATTTGTCACAATTCACAGTGAAACATTTTCCTCTTGCTGTGGAGAAGCCAGCATAAAAGCATAGGAAAGAACTTTCGGCTTTTCTGATGTTTTCATCTTCTAAAATTCCCTACCCATTGTTCTTACAAAACTACTCTTCATTTGAGCTTGTTTTGGCACCCAGATCAGCCTTTTTCAAAAATTTCCAAAGACCCAGAGGAACTTTTCATTGAAACTCTGTATTTTTCTCAAAGACAGTTGTCTGAGCTACGTAGCTCGTTATACAAATGAGTGCTATCTCAATGGCAGCTAAGGACACCTCAAGTTGTAATTTCCTCCTGGCCCCCAAAGTAATTTTTTTAAAGGAAGAATTTGAACACTGAAATCAGAATGACTGAATAATAGGGCTTGAAGCACTCTTGGGGATCCAGAGCTTAGAACCATTTTCAGGAATGTCTTTTATCAGCTGGGAGAATCGTGCCCTTGAAGTCACCCCTGGCAGCTTTTAATTATCAGGAGGGAAGAGAGGGGTAAGGAAGTTCCAGGACTCTTTTGAGTCCAGACTAAAAGTGAGTTGGCAGCCAAGGCTGCTTACCCCTTCCTGGTTAGAAGCTTTCATTAGCGTGTCCTGACAACCTTGTGACTAGACCGGGCTGGCCAGCATCCCTGTCAGCAGGACAGGAGCAGGGGGAAGTCATTAATGGCATTCTACCCATGTTACAACCTCAGAATGTCTGCTTAACCAAAATTGCGCTTCTTACGTGGTGTCAAGGTGCGGGTCACTAATAGCATCTCAAAGACTGTGCAAAGCAAGTGACACTGCTGGAGGCTCCTAAAAAAACCTAAACTATATTGTATCATTTATTGGGAGGAATCAAGTAGAGGTCAATTATTGTGCATTTTGTCTGGATCAGTGAATGAAATAAAGCTCTTTGGTATTTGTTGCCTAGAAGACTCATGAAATTAGTGGGCACACCTTGAAGTTTCATAAACCCTTAGTAGTTTTTATTGTCTTTTTTCCCCAGTGTGTTCTCTCTTGGAGTTTACCCAATTAGATAAAAAGAAGAAAAGACACATAATCGAAGGCCTTTGCTTTTTATTCCATCTTTCAAGCCTATTAAAGTTACTGGTTTACTTTAATCATCTCTAAATAAGTAAAGAAACTCTCTTAGGAAATTGGGTAACCTGAGTGCAAAATATAAGAAGCTGAAGCTATTTTCTTTTTATTTAAGTTCCCTTGGTCATGCTGAAATCATTCCAACATGATACTCGGAATTCTGGGCTTCTCATTGCTTCCATCTTTAAAGGACAACTTACTTCTGGTAAGAAAATACAACTTTTGTTAGGAGATTTTCTAGTAGTCTTTACTAGTCATTTATTTGAACTCTCCATACTGAAAAATCCTGTGTCAGGTATAAATTTCTTGATAAGAAGATTTGCCATATGCTTTCTATAGGAAAATAATCAACAAAGATCTGCTTAAAATTGAATTTAAGGAGTGGTGTAGATGGATTTTGCCAGCTTTCGCTCTGGGTCGGATACATTTTCATTTCAGTTAGTGCTGGGACGCAAGACCCCAAAACTTCTTTCTAAAAAAATTCTACTATTTCAGTGTCTACCATATACCAGCAGTTTTATATATATCATTTTTCTTTTTTAAAAAATTATTTATTGATTTAGAGAAAGGGAGAGAGATCAATTTCTTGTTTCACTTATTTATGCATTTATTGGTTGATTCTTATATGTGCTCTGACCAGGGATCAAACCTGCAACCTTGGTGTATCAAGACAATGCTCTAACCAACTAAGCTACCAGCCAGGGTGAGATACATCAACTTGTTTCTATCTTCAGAACAACTTGGTGAGAAAAGTGTTATGTGTCTATTTATAGATGGGAAACCTGACGTTCAGAGGGGTTAAGGAATTTGTCCAAGTTCATCCTAAGTGACAGACTAAAATTCGAATCCTGTTTTTCAAATTCTGAAGTCTCTGCACTTTCTCTCATGTAATCGAGATCCTATTTTATGTGTTAGTATGACTCAATCTTCCATTGATAAATATACTTAAATATTTTAGGCATAAAAGGATATTAGATCAGGTTGTATAATGGCAAATACAACTCTAAACAGAAGTTTCAAATTAAAAAATTTTACGCATGACTATTTCACTACTGGCCATTTGTAGATCACTTACCTCCTTGCATAGAAATCTGGCAGGAATAACCTAAGAATTTTTGCAGGTTATATGGCCATTCTTTGGACTTTTGCTTATTTATTTAACAAATATTCATTAAGCAACTACTATGTGCTAGGCACTGTTCTGGGTGCATGGGAATTGGCAGTGAGAAAAATGAACAAAGCCCCTGTCTTCATGGGGCTAATAGATGGGGGGGAGGTGAGAAAACAATGATTAAAACAAGAAGAATAAGGTCAAGTAGTAGTAAATGTCATAAAAAAGAAGGTATGAGCACTCTGAATCTATACACGTGAATAAATTACAAGCAAGTGCTTAGGTTTAGTACAGACCCCTAATTACAGATGCCTACATAGGCCTGCACCTTCATATTTCTGTGGGAATTGTGGAGGCTAGGAACTCAAGGCAGCTCTGTTACATAGGTGTTATTATCTCTATTTCACAGAAGAGGAAACTTGAGCTTCAGCAAGTTTATAATTGTGCCCTGAGGTTACAGAGCTGGTAAGTGGCTGAGTCCATTTCCAACCCAGGTCTCTCAGGTCACTGCTCTATCCTTGGTCCCCTTTGCCCGGTGCTCTGTTAACAGGGGATTCTCTGTCCTCTTCCACGTGCTAGTGCCCACATGTATGTGGCAGTCAGTACCTTCCATTAGTTGCATGAAATCTTTAGTAATTCATTCATTAGTCCTAGGAAAACACTAATTTCATATCCACTGGGACTTTGGAGTAATCTAAGCCCCTGACTACCAACTGGCTTTTGGAGAGGGACTGGACAATTTGGAGACCCCAAATGTATTGCAGGTGCAGCTTGGAAATAACTAGGGAAGGGCTAATACAGTGTCTGCCACATGACAAGTATATGATAAACATTTGCCAAAGGGAGGAAGAGGGGGAATAGAATGGATGTTAATAGCCAGCACACTCAGAACAAACTCCAGTGTGATCAATCATTTCTCAATTACAGTCTATATTTGAAAATAGAAAACAGGATAGCCCTGGCTGGTGTAGCTCAGTGGATTGAGCATGGGCCTATGAAGCAAAGGGTTGGCAGTTTGATTCCCAGTCAGGGCACATGCCTGGATTAAAGGCCAGGTCCCCAGTGGGGGCCACGTGAGAGGCAACCACACAGAGGTGTTTCTCTCCTTCTCTTTCTCCCTCCCTTCCTCTCTCTCTAAAAATAAATAAATAAAATGTTTTTAAAAAGAAAACAGGGTTTTACATGTATACTAGACAGAAAATATGACGATCCTGGAGGTAACACATGTTGAATATATTATATTCATAATTTAACAATTTCAGGGGATTAATTCAACTTCAAAATGTAAACAAAGATTGTTAGCATTTTTTAGACAGTGTTCTATTTGTTGTTTTTTACATTATTTTTATTGTATTTTTCCATTAATCTGCCCTGTATCCTCTTCCACATCCCCCCATGCCCTCCCCCTGCAATGCATCGTTTTCCAAATAAAATGTGAGTGCAAGATATGTAACAATAAAAAAAGTTTGTAACATCTAACATATATTCTAAATAGAGTGAATCTCCTTTCTCAGTGGAAAAAATTCATGAACAATAAATTTTGGAGAATGGTACCAAGTTGTATATAACTTCTGTCTCACACCAAAGATTAAAAAAAAACAACTAAAAACCTCAGTCATGGTTGTGGCCTGCTCTGTTACAAGCAATTAGAATTTGCACTTGTGTCAGAAAAACCAAATGAGGTTCATCACTAAACCTTTTTATATAAAATATGCATGCACAAGCTCAGAAAAATGTCTAATGCTAACCACTTTTGCTAGAGATGCACTTCTAGAAACCCACTGAGATCAGATTCATGCAACCTGCAACCTGATTTTCTCAAACAGAAAGTGTTGTCATGCAGTTTGGAAGAGCAGTCACTTTACAGCTTGTTAACTTTGTTTCCCTTTTTCTCTTTTCCTTTGACATCAATGATCTTTGCTTTGAGCAGAGTAGAGAGAACAATGATTCTGACATCACATGGTCACTAAAGCTTAGCTAAAATTATTTTTCTTTCCTCTCAGACACCAGGCAACAGAACATTGGACTTTTATCGGGCATGGTCTCCTTTGCTGTTGTGTTGTCAATTCTTTCTTTGATTGTGATATTTAACAAATCGCTCCGAACTAGGTAGGTTTTTGCAGAATTTCTGTTTTCTGATTTTTGACCATGTATTTGTACCACCAAAATGCAGTCAATTATTTACAAAAAATATTCATCGACATTTTTATTCAGAGAAAGGAAAAATACCTACTTATGTCAAACTGTTTACAAATGTCATTTATTTAACCCTCACAATGACCCTGCCAGAAAAGCTCTATGGTCTAATTTACATAAAGCTTACAGAGGTTAAATGATCAGCCGAAGGTCACTAAGCACTATCCAGGTGTCCAGACCTGGTTGAACTCATAGCCCATGCACTCTCTTTCACTACACAGCTTTCTCACTGTGCCCTCAAGTTTATCTTCAGTGCCTGGATTCTCTAGAGTGGTTAAGTCATAACCTGCCTTGAATTCTACCCAAATACACCCCATGAGTCAGTGTGGAGAGAAGTGGGACACCATCTGAATTCATCACTTTGATATCAGTCACGCTAGTGTTTTAGCATGCAGCCCCAAGGCCCCTCCTCCTGGCCTCCTTCAATCATTTTCCCCAATATGGAAATAGTAACAATCTATGCCTTGTTATTTAGAAAATGAGACTTTGAGAAAAATAAAGCCTTCGATTTCCTAAAGTTTACTACATGTAGTGAATACATATTTCTTTCTTTTTAAAGTATACTTTATTGATTTTGCTGTTACAGTTGTCCCATTTTTTTTCTCTTTTCTCTCCCTCTGCCCTGCAATGCTCCTCCCCCCCTTTAGTTCATGTTCATCGGCCATACACATAAGTTCTTTGGCTTCTCGATTTCCTATGCTATTCTTAACCTCCATCTGTCTATTTTCTACCTATCATTTATGCTACTTATTCCCTGTTCCTTTTCCCCCATTCTCTACATACCTCCTCCCCATTGATAACCCTCCATGTGATCTCCATTTCTGTGATTCTGTTGCTGTTCTAGTTGTTTGCTTAGTTTGTTTTTGTTTTTGTTTTTAGGTTCAGTTGTTCATAGTTGTGAGTTTACTGTCATTTTACTGTTCATAGTTTTGATTTTCTTTTTGTTAGATAAGTTCCTTTAATATTTTATATAATAAGGGCTTGGTGATGATGAACTCCTTTAACTTAACCTTATCTGGGAAGCACTTTATTTGTCCTTCCATACTAAATGATAGCTTTGCTGGATAGAGAAACCTAGGTTGTAGGTCATGGTTTTTTATGACTTCAAATACTTCTTTCCAGCCCTCTCTTGCCTGCAAGGTTTCTTTTGAGAAGTCAGCTGATAGTCTTATCAGCTGGGAAGTCTTTTGTAGGTAACTGTCTTCTTTTCTTTTGGTGTTTTTAAGATTCTCTCCCTATCTTTAATCTTGGCTAATGTAATTATGATGTGCCTTGGTGTGTACTTCCTTGGGTTCAACTTCTTTCGGACTCTTTGAGCTTCCTGGACTTCCTGAAAGTCTATTTCCCTTGCTAGATTGGAGAAGTTCTCCTTCATTATCTTTTCAAATAAGTTTTCAATTTTTTGCTCTTCCTCTTCTCCTTCTGGCATCCCTATGATTCAGATATAGGAATGTTTAAAGTTGTTCCAGAGGTTCCTAAGCCCTCCTCATTTTTTTTGAATTTATGTTTCTTCATTCTGTTCTGGTTGGATGTTTCTTTCTTCCTTCTGTTCCAAATTGTTGATTTGAATCCTGGTTTCCTTCCCGTAACTGTTGGTTCCCTGTATATTTTTCTTTATTTCACTTTGCATAGCCTTCACTTCTTCCTCTATTTTGCATCCGTACTCAAAATTTCTGTGGGCATACTGATTGCCAGTGTTTTGGACTTTGCATCTAATAGGTTGGCTATTTCCTCATCACTTAGTTCTTTTCTAGAGCTTTGATCTGTTCTTTCATTTAGGCCATATTTCTTTGTCTCAGCACACCTGTTATGTTGTAAGGGTCAGAGCCTTAGGTATTCACCAAGGTGGAACAACTCACTTCGCTGTGTTGTGGCACTGTATGTGGCAGAGTTGTCAGAGAGGGTACAGTGGCACTTGCTTGACTATTGCCCTAGTTTCAGTCACTTCCCTTGCTTCCCACAAGCAGATTGTGTCCTTTCAGGGGCTGATTCCTGGGTGGGTGAACTTGTATACATGCTAGGACCTTGTGGGCCCCTCCAATGAACTCTCCTGTAAGGATGGGAGTCTCTTCCACTGCCGCAGACCCTATAGATTTTATAGCCCAAGGTTTTGAGGCTTTATTTTCCCTGCACTGGAACCCTGGGTTGCACAATCTGTCTCACTCCCCAGTTGTTCCTCCTGGCTTAATCACACATGAATGTGGGATAGCCCAGTCTGCCAGCCACCACCTCGCCCATCCAGGTCTGCCAGCTGCTTCCCTGCCAGGCGTCCTTGCTGCCCCAGCTTCCCATCTCCACCCCTTCTACCAGTCTGGATGAATGTTTCTTCTTTAACTCCTTGGTTAGCAGTCTTTCATACAGTTTGATTTTCTGGAAGTTCTGGTTGTTTTTGTTTTTAAATTGTTTGCTATCCTTCTTTTGGTTGTATAAGGAAGCAAAGCATATCTATCTATGCCTCCATCTTGGTCAGAAGCCCAGAATACCTATTTCTAGTGTACTGTTTTATGTGGCAACCTCCTGTTCTATCCAATGACTTTCTAATTTTAATACATATAAATGTTCTTTGCCTGATTGGCACTGAGAAATAGTTTCTCTTTCTTGCCATCACTTGCTTCATGAGATAATCTTTGTTTCTTTTAAATTCATCACCAAAATGAGGCAGAAAGATTTAGAATGAGCTATTCTAAATAAACTAGTGATTTTAAAAATTTATGTAGACTTTTTTCTTAGAACTTAAGTATATAAACTACACACTAGTAAACATATCCCTGACACCTTTGATAGGTGGGCAAATGAATATGGGACTTCATTTTAGGTTGTATTAAAATACACTTGATTATAAAGCTCTTTGAAATATTTTGATGTTCCAACTTATACATGTAAAAATATTAATATTTATTTTGTTATGCAAAGAAGTCTCAGTTAGTGTGAAAATTTAAGTAACATTAAATTTGTTACTAAGAATAATTAAAGATCCACTTCCTATTGATAATGGCAAATAAGAAAATAGGACAATTCTTTGCTAATTTAATTATTTAAATAAGTATTCTTTAAAAAAATATAAAAGAACAAGAGATGATTCCAATATAACTATTATACATATGAAGATACTATTATTTACTATAACCATACATTATTTATATAAGCCTTATTTCTTATATAGGACTGGAAAACAGAGGGAAAACATTTTAAATAATGAAACCAAAAGAAAAACATATATATAAAGTAAATGTATATATATATTCTCACTGTAGCAGCTATATAAAAACTTTTCCACAACAGCATGAACCTACTAATTTGGTCTAATTTTAGGTATAGAAAGAGAGTGTTAATTAGTAATTTCTAATTTATGAAAAGAGCTGAATCATAAAACATTGCATAAATACACATAAGAAAATTATATTTGCCCTGTAGTACAAGGTAAAATTGGGCTAGCAAAGTACACTTCAGCCGTTCTGGTTGTTACTTAGTAAAAGTCCATAGAGACGCTGCTTAAACAGATAAACACATCTGATCTGCTGTTCACAGATGCACTGTTTACTTGGAAAAATGTGCCAGAGGTCAGTTTAGTCTCTTTTAAGTTCCTGGTACAACCTCTTTGCTCAAATCAATATTTACTGTAAATGCAGAAAGTGCTTTCAACACAATGACAGTGCCAAGGGGTAGCTTTGGGGAAGAAGTGGGTCAAACACAGCTTCTCTCTCTTCTTCCTATCACCCTACCTCAGTGATCCTGAATAAGCACATAGCGTAAACAAAACCTGGCATTCTCACTGTGCCGCAATACTGGAAGACAACCTGCCCTGTCCCACGCTCCACCCACATAAAAAGTGTTTGGAGCCACCACTATCATCTAAACTCTATTTGAAGTCACAACAAATTCAGAATTGGGGAAGCTGGAATTATACAATTTTATTATATAACATTTTCTCCTTTAATATTTTTCTGTGGTATGATCACCTTGGAAAATTGTACAAAATATCCCTTAAGTTTTCCAAACTTTTCCACACTGAGGTCTCCTGCTCATCATGCCTTGCCATATCTAACATATGTATAGTTTTTCACTTTCAGCATAGTTCTCTCACTTATCTTGAATCTAATGTGCATGATTGAAATGTTCTAGCTCAGTAGACAGAAGCAGAGCAATAGAGAGAAGAGAAAAATCTGGCAGATATTGAGTCAACTTCCCACTTAACTATTTGAAGTAAGAGATAGAAATCTTAGCTCCTGCTTCAGAAAGTTTCATTTTTATTATGCATTCCACTTTATATAGTTGATTTCCTAATCACTCATATGATTGCCTGCACCAATTCTAAAGTAAAACGCTTCTTTGAATGTGGTATTTTTGTTTTTCAGAATTAAAAGAAGAATCTTCTTGCTTATACCAAAATGGCTTCATGAAGACATTCCTAATATGGAAAACAGTAATGTCGTGAAAATGCTACAGGTAACCAAACACTGTCAAATAAAAGATAAATGGCAGCTGTGACCAAGAGTACAGTTTAATAGCATAGAATTCCCATTCTGATAAATAAATGTGTGTGCATATTAGCATAACTGTATAAAATAAATAGAAACAAAATTATACATATTTCAAATTGTACTTAAGAGGTAGGAGAAAGAAGCTAGAGAAAGAAAGAGGTAAAAGAAAGAAACAATCCTACTCAAAAGAGAAACATGAAGTGGGAGATTGTGGGCTAGGTGCCAGGGTCACTTGGCGGCCATGAAATTGGTAGATGTCTTCAAGGGACCAAAGGAAGAGGACAGAAAAGCTCAATTGATTAAGCCTCAAAGACACAAAGGGGTTTCTGTTTTACATGAGATCAGAGAAGCAGGTGGAACCCAAGGAGGACTCACCACTTCACTCCTGAGACCCAATGAAATTCGAGAAAGTAAATGTGAGGGGACTGTGGAGATGATGTCATCAAGGGTGGGCCGGGTTTCCACTTCAGCAAAAAAAAAAAGAGAAGGGTGAGCCAGGAAGACCCTGGGAATATATGGGACTTTGCTAGTTAAGGAGGAACTGCTGATGATTATGAAAGAGCGGAAGGAATCTGCCATGTGCGCTCCTCCTACTTTCCAGCACTCTGGTCTGGTTAACAAGAGGCCCAAAATGCAGTCAATGGGACAGCCACATTATCCAAGCACTACAATGCAGTGATGTAAGTGCAGTGACAGAAATGGGACCAAACATGATGGGAATGTAGAGGAAACATTGAAAGATGAATAGAAGTTGAAGAAACAGGGAACGTTCAAAACAGGAAGGACAACATGAGCAAAAGCAAAGAGGTGAGAAGCTCATGTTGGGTATTGCTTTATCGAAGAGCTTTATATGAAGAGTAGCTGGAAAAATGCTGGAATAGTGAGTGGGAAGAGATCACAAAAGGTCTTAATGCTATGGAACTTCATTCTGTTAACTGACACTTCTCAAATTAAGAAAAATCTGTATTTTTAGTCTAGGACCCCTGTTTGGAGCTTTAGCAAGCCCTTTAGTCAACTCCTTCCCCAACTTCAGAAAAATCTCTAGACATAATATTGTTGCATATTAGAATCCTGATGCCCAGGCCCATTCCAGGATCTTGGGGGGGGGGGGGGGGGGTGGGCCTGGGGAGACCCAGACAGCAGCATTTTCCAAGGCTTCCCAAGTGATTCCACACAAAGACAACATTGAGAACACTGATAAGGAGTTGCAAACTACTGCTGAAGACAATGAGAAGCCAGTGAGGGGTTTTTGATTAGAATAGACGTGATCCTTAGAAAGAGGCAGATTTAGGAGGGCCAGAGAAATGAGCATGCTGAGGTATGGACAAAATGTTGAGAAACAAGGATTCGCAGTGGTGAGGAATTTGTAGAGGGTCTATACCATAAAGAGTGAAATGAATCCATGGAATGTGACAAGGAACAAGTCCTTGTCCAGAGGCTTAGTTGAGAAGTGAATGGAGACCCTCTAAAAAATTCATTGATTTTGATGCCTTTTAGTGCTTCTGCCATTTTTTGTTTCACCTCTTCCGTATTGCCAAAAGTTTCCCTTTGAGTATTTTTTCACCTGGGAAAGCACAAAAGCAAAAAACAAAGATTGCTAGGAGGAAGACTGGGTGAATAGGGAGGGTGGGGCACAGGTGTCATGTTGTTTTTAGTCAAAACTGCTCAACACTCAACACAGTGTGGACAAGTGAGCTTGTAAATCACCCATCATGAAATGGGCAAACTCATTGAAAGAGCCTTCAGAAAAAATCACTGGAACCGAATACAGCCTCTCATAGTGCCAGCTGGTACACTGCTACAGATGGGTTCCTAAAACATTCACCTAGTAGGGGGAAGCCTGTACTACAAAGGACCGGCCCTTCAGAAGATAATTCCATTTTTTGGGTCCTCCCTCATGTTATGTACATAATTGTATATGCCATACTTTTACATGTCTGGCACTGGCAGTAGGTTTGTTTACACCAGCATCACCGCAAACAGTAATGCATTGCACTGTGGCATCATGATGGCTATGGTATCACTAGGTGATAGGAAGTTTTCAGTTCTATTATAATCTTATGATACTACCATATATGTGCTCCTTCACTGACTGAAACACTCCATGGCACATGACTGTATAGGATTAGGTACTATCTTGGTTTCCGGCATCCACTGGGGGAGGGGGTTGGAACATAGTCCCTGTGGAGAAGAGGGGGCTACTAGACACGTCTCTCCATCCCATCCAAACCTTCTAAGTTCTGTAGGGAGGCTGAGCCTGAAGAAAATTTGAACACCAGTTCATGCTGCTTTATTCAAGGTCTTCCTTTTTGCGAAACTTCCTTCACAGTCTGGAGTCTTGAAATTAGAAGTTAATCTTAGGGTTTCCTTCAAATGAGGTTTTGTTCTAGTTAGCTCAAGCTGCTATAACAGAATACCATGGACTGAGTGATTTAAACAGCAAATATTTGTATTTCACATTCCTGGAGGCTGGGAAGTCCAAGATCAAGATGCTAGAAGATTCGGTTCCTAGTGAGAGCTCTCTTGCAGGCAGCTTCCTTCTTGCCGTATCCTCACATGGCAGAAGGAGGAATCATGCTTTGCCTGCCCAGGAACCAAGCCCATTTTTGAGGGCTCCATGCAAAGATGACTCCATCTCCAAACACCCCACTTCCTAATACCATTATATTGGGGGTTAGGACTTGACATATGAATTCTGAAGAGACACATTCAGTCCACAGCAGACAGCTGTAATTTTATGATTGTGTTGGGTGGGAGCCAGCCATCACCTGGAAAGCCTTGATACCTTTTCTTACCCAGAATAATCATCAGGCTTTTATACAAATGAAAATCTTCTTCATCCAACCTCCTGACCATCACAGACATGTCTGAACTGGGAACAACCTTCAGAACCTCAACTCAAGCCACTTCATACAACCTTAGTCTCAAATGGAAGCAAAATAGGATTCTCCCCCTCCCCTTTTCTTTTCCATTTACACAACCACACATTTTCTTATAGTAAGTCTCCATAATATCAACAAGTAGTCCAACATATTTCAAAATCCAAATTTCAAAAGGCCCTGAAATAATATGCAAGTTAATATGTAAAATGCTTCTTTCTGTTTAAAATTTTTTAATTCAAGAGATATGCTTGAGACATACATTATTTGTATTATTTATTTCCTTTAGTCTCCTCATGGGAGAATTTAATAAAGATTTGAACCTGAGCAGGAAAACAAAGGAGGAAATCATATGAGAAGATAAACAATATGAGAAAAAGAAGAGAGAAAGGAAAGTTATGGGAAATTAGAATTCCAGTCCTTATTCAGTTATGCAGCTGACATTTAATGTTTTTTTGTAAACTAAAACAATATTTTTTCTTTCCAGGAAAAGAGTGAATTTATGAATAATAATTCCAGCGAAGAGGTTCTGTATGTCGATCCAGTGATTACAGAGATAGAAATCTTTCTCCCAGAAGAACACAAGCCCATGGACTGCAAGAAGGAAAAGAAGACAGGACTCCTGGAGATGAGGGACTGCTTGCCAGAATCACTGCTCACCAATACAGTTGTGTATATTCCTGATCTCAACACTGGATATAAACCCCAGACTTCACACTTTCTCACTGAGGAAAACCATCTCAGCAATAATGATGAAACACCTTCCTCAGCTCCCAAACTAACAACTGCTGATTCCTCAGACCTGGGGAAAAATGCTCGGTTTCAAAAATATCCTAATTTTGCTCTTTCTGTCTCAAGTATGAATTCGCTACACAATACACTATTTCTCGAAAAATTAAGCCTCATTTTAAATCGAGGAGAATGCAGTGCTTCTGACATGCAAAACTCGATAGAGGGGGAAACCACCATGCTTTTGGAAAATGCTTCACCCAGTGAGACTATCCCAGAACAGACGCTGCTCCCTGATGAATTCGTCTCCTGTTTGGGGATCATGAATGAGGAGTTGCCATCTATCAATTCTTATTTTCCACAAAATATTTTGGAAAGCCACTTCAATGGGATTTAATTCTTGGAAAAGTGTAGTCAAAATCAATGTGAGAAAGCTGCCTTGCAATCTGAAGCTGAGTTTTCCCCTCTACCTAAATTTAGTTCTGCTCTTTTTTTTAAAATTAGAAAATTAAGATCCAAAGGTAAAACATATACTTCATGGTCACAAGAGCAGCAGGAATATTAGGAATACCTCCTGCATTAAAAAAAAAGTAGCTATACTCTTTTCATTTTCCCTCAGTACAAGGCACAAATCTCTCTGTTGTATGAAGGATAAATAATATAAAATACATGATAGTGAAGTAAATGCTGAAAATAGTTATTCAAAGGTGGCCTCAGAATCAATCATCTTGACACAGCATTTGTGATGGTCACAGTTAATAATGGCTGAGACTAGGGAGAAACTCTACCGGCCAACCAGGTCAATGCTGAAAGGTGGGTGATCTTAAAAATATGAAATACATATTAAGCTAAGAAATTCTGATTAATTTTTCTGATTAATATTTTTTAATCCATGAGAAAAATTTTTTAACGATCAGAATAATTTGAAACAGGATAGCTTACCCACTGAGTTTCTCTTTCTCTTCTAATAGTTGTCAATAATAATTTACATTCAGATTAAATAGTTTAATTTTGTTATAACAAATCAAGCAGTTAATTAAAAAAGAAGGACCAGTTGCCTACCATGTGTTTAGCACATGAGCAAGCCATTTTGTTTTGGTTTTGGCTTTTTTTTTAAATAAAAAAGAGACATTTAATAAAAATAAAATAAAGAAAAGATAGCCCTGGCCAGTGTGGCTCATTTGGTTGAAGTGTTGACCTGTAAACCAAAGGTCACAGATTTGATTCCTGGCTGCATCACACATTTAAATCGAGGGCTCATCCCCGGTCGGGGTGCATACAAGAACAGTCCTCAGATGGGGCCTGTATGAGAGGCAACCATTCAATGTTTCTCTCTCCTGTCGATGTTTCTGTCCTTCTGTTCCCTTCTCTCTCAAGTCAATAAGGACATTCTTGGGTGAGGATAAAAAAAAAAGCGAAAAGCAGTTTTGTTGTCATTAAGTGTCCCCACGAGGAAGATGACCACACATCCTGGTTTTCCTATTTTTTTGTCCCAGTGTTAAGTACGATCAGTGCACCCTTTCACTCTCAGAAGCATCTCATTTGGATGATAAATTATATGGTCACTGCATCTGTGAGGACTGTTTAATGTTCCGCATGTAAGTAGTTTATCACAAGTCATCTCTTTTTTTAAATTTGCATTGACAATCCTCTTTATTTTACTTTATATTATTTACTAGACATTTTGTTCCAAAAATGGAAAGTTACTCATCAAAATGTAAAAAACATATTCCTGCTATGAGATTCTATTTTATTTTTCCTAAATTATATATGTATTAGTTGTACTTTACATATTCTGAAAGTATATTTTAATCACTACTGAAATACCAACATTAAATATCTTGATTTCTAAAAGATCGATCTATGCCTTTGGTTTGTTCTTCTCCAAAGGGAGAATAGTATATAATGAAGCAAAAAGGCAGGTAATATTTGAGATAGAAATTAAAAAAGATTGAGATGAATCTTTGATGTTTACCAACATGATGACATCTGTTAACATGCGAAGAATATATTCTTAGTGTATTTCAATATAATTGTAATCTGCCCCACATCATAAAATCTTTTGTCAAGCTTAAACAATTGCAGCATTGGCCCTGGTTGGGTGGCTCAGTTGGTTGGTGGAGCATCATCCCTTGGACCAAAAAAAGTTGCACATTTGATTCCCAGTCAGGGACCATACCTAGGTTACAATTCTATCCCTGGTCTGAGTGAGTGTGGGTGGCAGCTCTCCATCTATGAGTCTGTCCCCATTTTTTTGTTGGTCCAGTTTGTTCATTAGATTCCACATATGAGTGAAGACATATGGGATTTTTCTTTCTCTGACTGGCTTATTTCACTCAGCAAAATGTTCTTTAGATCCATCCATGCTGTTGCAAAGGGTAAAATTTTCTTCTTTTTTACAGCCAAGTAGTATTCTATTATGTAATTGTCCCATAGTTGTTTTATCCACTCATCTACTGATGGACACCTGAGCTGCTTCCATATCATGGTGATTGTAAATAATACTGCAATGAACACAGGAGTGCTTATATTCTTTCAAATTAGTATTTTGGTTCCTTCAGATATATTCCCAGCAGTGGGACTGCTGGGTCAAAAGGCAGATTTATTTTTAATTTTTTGAGATATCTCTATACCACTTTCCACAGTGGCTATACCAGTCTGCATTCCCACCAACAGTGCAAAGGGTTCCTCTTTCTCTACATCCTCTCCAGCACTTGTGGTTTTTTTGGATTTATTGATGATAGCCATTTGACGGTTGTGAGATACTATTTCATTGTGGTTTTAATTTGTATTTCCCTGATGATTAGACATATTGAGCATCTTTTCATATGTCTATTGGCCATCTGTATGTCCTCCTGGAAAAAGTGTCTGTTCAGGTCCTTTGCCCATTTTTTAATTGTGTTGTTTTCTGGTGTTGAGTTTTATAAATTCTTTATAAATTTTGGGTTTTAATCCCTTATCAGATATGCTGGCAAATATGTTCTCCAATTCTCTGCATTGTCTTTTTATTTTCTTGATAATTTCCTTTACTGTGCAAAAAAATTTTAGTTTAATATAGTCCCCTTTCTTTACTTGCTTTTGTTTCCTTGCCTAGAGAGATATGCCTGATAAAAAATTGCTACAATCAGTGTCTGCGATTGCTGCTTATGTTTTCTTCTAGGATTTTTATCATTTGGGGTCCTACGTTTAAGTCTTTGATCCATTTTTAATTTCATCTTGTGTGTGGTATAAGGAGGTGGTCTAGTGTCATTTTTCTGTGCATATCTGTCTAATTTTCCCAACACCATTTATTGAATAAACTATCTTTAGCTCATTGTATGTGCTCACTTCCTCTGTCAAATATTAATTCATCATAAAGGTGTGGGGTTATTTCTGGGCTCTCTGTTCTGTTCCATCCATCTGTTTGTCTGTTTTTAGGTCAGTACCAGGCTGTTTTTATTACTTTGGCCTTATAGTATAGTTTGATATTAGGTAGCATGATTCCTCCAATTTTGTTTTTCTTTCTCAGGATCACTGTCGCTATTCAGGGCCTTTTGTGGTTCCATATAAATATTTGAAATATTTGTTCTAGTTCTATGAAATATGTCATTGGTATCTTGACAGGAATTGCATTGAATCTATAGATTGCCTTGAGTAGTATGGACATTTTTATTATGTAAATTCTTCCCATCCACTTATTTGTATCTTTCTCAATTTCTTTCTTCAGTGTCTTATAACTTTCTGTATATAAGTCTTTTACATCCTTGGTTAGGTTTATTCCTTGGTATTTTATTCTTTTTGAAGTAATTGTAAATGGGATTGTTTTCTTAATTTCCCTTTCTGTTTGTTCATTATTGGCATATAAAAATGCAACTGATATCTGGATATTAAGTTTGTATCCTGCTACTTTGCTAAATTCATTTAACAGTTCTAGTTTCTTGGTGAACTCTTTGGGGTTCTCTATGTACAGTATCATGTCATCTGCAAACAAAGACAGTTTTACTATTTCCTTTCCAATTTGAATGCCTTTTATTTCTTCTTCTTATCTGATTGCTGTGGCTAGGACGCCCACTACTATGTTGAATAAGAGAGGTGAAAAGTCTTGTTCCTGATCTTAAGGGAAACACTTGTAGTTTTTGCCCATTGAGTAGGATGCTGGCAGTGGGTTTGTCACATATGGCCTTTATTATGTTTAGGTATGTTCTATCTATTCACATTTTTCTGTAAGTTTTCATCTGCAAATTGCTGTAAATTGGTGCTGGATTTTATCAAGTACTTTTTCTGAATCTATGGATAAAATCATGTGGTTTTTATCTTTCTTTTTTTATGTGGTGAATCACATTTATTGATTTGCAAATGTTGTACCTACCTTGTATTCCTGGAATAAATCTCACTTGATTATTGTGTATGATCTTTTTGATGCATTGCTGTATTAAGTTTGTTAATATATTGTTGAGGGTTTTAGCATTTATGTTCAGCAGGAATATAGGCCTTTAATTTTCTTTTTTTGTTGTTGTTGTTGTTGTGTCTTTATCTGGCTTTGGAATTAGGATACTGCTAGCCTCATAAAATAAGTTTGGGAGCCTTCCCTCCTCTTGAATTTAATGAAATAGTTTGAGAAAGAGAGGTGTTAGTTTCTCTCAGAATGTTTGGTAAAATTCACTTGTGAGGCCATCCAGTCCAGGGCTTTTGTCTGTTGGGAGTTTTTTAAATTACAGCTTCAATTTCACTAGGTGTAATCTGTCTATTCATATTCATTGTTTCTTCCTTATTTAGTTTTGGAATATTGTATGTTTCTAGGAATGTATCCATCTTGTCAGGGCTGTCCAGTTTGTTGGCATATAGTCATTCATAATATTTTCTTACAATCCTTTGTATTTCTTTGTCATCAGTTGTTATTTCTTCTCTTTCTGATCTTATCTATTTGGGTTCTTTTTTTTTCCTTGTTGAGTCTGGTTAAAGTTTGTCAATCTTGTTTACCTTTTCAAAGAACAAACTCTTGGATTCATTAATGTTTTGTGTTTTTTTTAAGACTCTATTTCATTTATTTCTGCTGTGATCTTTATTATTTTCTTCCTTCTACTCACTTTGGGCTTTGTTTGTTGTTCTTTTTTAAGTTCCTTTAAGTGTAAAGTTAGAGTATTTACTTGAGCGTTTTCTTGTCCTGAGATAAGCCTATAATGCTATGAATTTCATCTTAGGATTGTTTTTCGAGGATCCCACAGATTTTGGATTTTTGTGCCATCATTTTCATTTGTTTCAAGGTGTTTTTTGATTGCTTCTTTAATCTCTTTGTTGACCCATTTATTGTTTAATAATGTGTTGTTCAGCTTCCAAGTCTGTGTATTTTTCAGTGTTCTTGTGATTTCTAGTTTCATAGCATCGCGGTCTGAGAAGATGCTTGATATGATTTCAATCCTCCTAAATTTATTGAGACTTGTTTTGTGTCTTAATATGTGCACTTGAAAAGTACGTATATATTCT